GCGCTAAGACGTGACGTTGGGTTCGATAAAACATGGCAAGAACGTTGTTAGCGTCGATTCTCCACCATTTCGTTCTGACTCTGAAGTCAAGCAGTATGTGGCCGCATTGCGAGTACGTTCGAGCCTGAATGTCTGTTAGTCTTGGGAGTCGGAACTAAATGGTAGTGAATCAGCACGAACGATATTATTGCCACGTTTTATTGGATCTAACCGCAGGTTGTACTCTTGCTTGACTACATCGGCTGACTTTGCACTCGCTGTCTACACTACATTCCATTCACCCCAAACCCTGTGTGTACTCAGCTTGTGTATTGTGTCATACCGCGATGAAAACGACTGGCATGACGCGAGCGTTGACAGTGCCTTATTATGTGGATAGCTGTAATTTTGCGAAATCAAATTTACTTGCATTGAGATCTTGAGATGGCAATAATTTCTTCATCAACGATGCTGAGAAATAGGTGTGGTAGGGTGAGAACAGGTTCCTGATTTTTACTTTTCAGCGGGATTTTCCTACATTAGTATAGATAGGCTTCTTGGATAAATTCAAAGAGTCCCGAGTATATGATAAAACTTGGTATCGCCACTATTGCTCACCGTTTTTCTTCGAAAATATGGTGTTAGTTCTTGTATACTAAAGTACCACCTGGAAGAGTAACAGTGTTGGAAGTGGTCTGTTTTAGAAGCGGGTCATAGATATTTGTAATTTTTTTATTGAAGAGAATGCTTGCCAGGTGAAAAATCACCTCACCGGACGTCATCGCCCTTGACTGTTCTTTTAGTTAGGCAATGTCCACCTGGTCACGGTTAGTAACTTGAGAGATTACTCGTTTATTCATGAGGTGGTAACGCAACCGGTATCTCTAATGATCGTAAGCCTATAATATCCTGCGGTAAAACGGAGGTAATCGATTGATGTTTGATACTTTCTGGTAGATCTGAAGAGTTTCGTGTATAAAAGGAAAGCGACCATCGCGATGAGACTGCATCTTGACGTGGTGTGATGGTTTGTGTGCCTCCATGACCCCGCGAGCTATACAGGATGGCTCCTCACAGCCGCAGATCCAATCATGCCTGAAAGGTCAACGGGTAGAGGACAGACGAAGCTCAGTCTCACAAAGACAGCTGCTTGGGCACCTGGTTTCCTTCTAGCCACTCCAACAGATAAACGCGGTGAGGGGGCAGTTTACCGGTCAGAAAAATCCCGCTAGATGGACGTAGGAGTGGGGTACCTAGGGCTTCCCCTCGACGGTGGGAGAAGTCTTCGCGCTTCATTGAACAGCTACCACCCGCCCAAGCTGGGAATCCCCCAGCCAATAAGGTGCTGTCCCGTCCACGTTCCGCTTGTCTCATTGGGTGCATGAGGCTGAGGGCTGATCCCGAAAAGCGTACCGAAAATCAACGCACCAGCGAACAACAAGCTTAAACAAAATTCAAAGGCCCTGTGTGACAGGTCTCCAGAAGCTCCCACACGAGTGTTTCGTTCACGCTCCCGTATTGGATTTATGCCCCACCGCCTTGTGGGTCAGACGTTTGAGTCAGGCCCGGTTAGGGTTTCCAAAGAAAAGCCCCGTCGTCGGTGTGGGCTACTGTGAAATATGTCGTGCCCTAAAGTCTTAGGCACCCATTTGGAAAACCCTCCTTGTCATCTGTCTAGTTCTTCCTCTCAGTCCGGAATAATCCCAAGCGCCTGCTGTTTACCAGACCCATCGGATATCATTCAGCGTTTCGCCAGCAAGTTCAAATTCCCTTTTCACTTAGCCGCGTTCAATGTCCGCACCCTACCCGATCGATCAACAAGCTGCCCTAGCTAGAACCCTTGAAACTTACAATTTAGATGTATGTTGTGTCTCCGAAACACGCATACAAGACCCTACTTCCATTATCTCTCTGCGTTCTCCTGAACCAACCTCAACCTCACGCTTCACCCTTCGTGTGTCAGGCGATTCGACATCCGAAGCTCGCGGTGTTGCTGGTGTCGGAATTGCGCTAAGACTGAACGCTCGCTTCTCGACTGGATTCCAGTCAGTAGCCGACTGTGTGCCATACGTCTCAACGGTTCAGCTACAGAACGAAACCTCGATGTCTGTTCATCGTGTCGGTGTATTCACCGATCGATTACAACCAGGCTGGATTTATACTTGGCCCAGATTTTATCGACCACGTCTTCACTCTTCACCAAACTCTGGAGCTCCGACATTCTTTTCGTAGACGCATCATCTCTATTTTCCTGGATCTTAAAGCGGCCTTCGACTTAGTCGACCGCTCTAAACTCTGGTGCTGCGTTTCTCTGAAAGGTGTGCCTGAGAAGTTTATATCA